AGTTGGCATATACTTTATTCTTTGTTATTTTAGCAAATCTTAGTTTTTGGCTTCCTGGCACAAACTCTACAAGACAATCTGTCTTTACTCTTGCTTTATGATCTCTTCCATTTCCTGTATAGATTTTTAAAATTTGTTTCCAGTTGTCTCCCACTCCGTGTGTGTGTGTGTGTGTGTGTGTGTGTGTGTGTGAAAGAGAGAGAGAGAGAGAGAGAGAGAGAGAGAGAGAGAGAGAGAGATCAACTTCTTTTTTTATTCGTTTTTATGTTCTCACCTGAATTGTTTGCAACTGTGCTTTTAATATCTCCCTTGGAAAAGGAAAAGGAATACAGGAGCTGTTAATGACAATTTTGTCCTGTAAAAGAGGAAAATATAATAAACTCAAAATAACGCTGCTTTGATCGTTTAAGAGGCAAGAGAAAAACTCTTGGCAGGCTTTCAGAATTCTGTTTTGAAAACCTATAATAAAGTTGCATTTTTGAAATCCATGATCTAACCTGATGCAAAAAACTGACATTATCTTTAGCAGTTTCCATCCATTTTGCTTGCATTATGATGTGATGGGATTCCATCAGTGATGGGTTCCGGATCCTGATCCAAACAGTATGGTTGAAACGGGCCCTGCGGTGTCTACATGGACACGGCAACGCACGTGCATCTTAGCTCCTCTGCAATGATCTAGTTGCTCAGCGGAGCGCAGGGGCTGTACGTGCTGTGCACGTGCATGGAAGCGCCGAAGACTTAAAAGATCGGTAAGGAGCTCGGGCGGGGTGCTCCGGAGCACCATACCAGAACGTTATCCGGTGCTTCGGGCTGGCTCCGGTACACCCGTACCGGGGCATACCGCTTGCAACTCACCACTGGATCCCATTTATCATCGCTTAATTCAAAACCATGTCTCATTACATTCAATTTTATTAAAATCAAGAACTACAGGATTCCATTATCACTTTCACCCTCCTTGCTGCTACTTACACCTCTGAATTAAGTTTTCCTTATTTAGTGCTGTGATATCAAGCTAAGCATAGCTGATTATCTTGTATCTTCATCCACATTCTGAAGAAAAAAGTTGTTGAGAAATAAAAAGTCCAACAAATCAGGGGCAACTGATTCTCATGTCTTCTTCTACCTTATGAAGAAAGTTCACGAACAGATCATGCTTCAGAGACATTTAGTCTATCATTATGAATCCATATATTCCAATTTGTTTTTGAAAGTATCATCCACCTCTTTTCCTTGGATGGGAAAACAATAGACACCAACAGAATGAGTTTATTTGTTCATACACGCAGGTTTAAAATACTTGAATTTCTGAATACAACTGAATATTTAAACATACAATATACTTCCTCTTTCTTTTGCTTCTCTTCCTTTTAAACAAATGATATCGTTTAATTGGTTAAAATATAGAAGTACATAAATAAATATAGCAGTTGGCTGTTCTCCAGTCATGGGAGTCATTTGTTAATCTTTCCTGTCTGTATGCTATGCTTACGCTATGCTTAAAATTTGATGTATTACTTTGATCAGCATTAGGGACAGCACATATCATGTCACGTGGGCTGGGTGGACATCACTTAACTCAATAAATGAGTGCTAAAGAAAAACCTTCTGTAAAAGAAGGTCATTAGGTTTTATTAAGTAATAATTTGTAAACTGTGATTAACATAAAAAGACTCAATGGAGTAACTTTTCCCATGTGAAGTAGGCACATTGCATATTGCAGCTAAATAGGGCGTTTTGAACACTACACTTCAACATAAGCATATTAGAAATCAGACGCCTCCACCTTTACATTAGGATAAATATGCAATCCTTCAAATGTTGGTGGGCTACAGATCCCATGATTTCTCAGCACTGGAGAGTCTGGCAAAGAATGAGATATCAACATCTGGATGCCTCACTGCAGATTCCTATTGTATATTGGTAGATCAATGATATCTGCCAGGCATTAACTACAGCTCAGATGCGAATTACAGCTAGTTACAATCTTTGTTTCTTTATGACATAATCCCATGTATTTTTTAGTGATTTTTCTTTCCCTTTTCATTCATTCTCAGTAGGTATCTAATATTGTTAGATCAATAATTTCTGACACAAACTCATTTATCTCATATAAAAAAATGCTAGAAGTTTAGTCATACCGACAGGGTCAGTTAACTTTGTGGAATCAATTTTTAAAGCTCAAAACTCCCTTGCTTCACAGGACATGCTGATTTTCCTGTTTTTGTAGAAACTCCCATGCTCCTAGAATAGCATAACAAATATGTTTCCTGCAATGCTATCAACATCAACTACTGCAATTAACCTGCAAACTTCGTAAGTTCCTCTCACAAATTTCCCCTCACTCTTGTTAAACATTTTATATGCTTTGCTCTAAACTTTAACCAGCACAAGTCACATATATTTATTTTACTAGATTCTTTGGGGACCCTTTTGTCCTAGAGAAGTACAGTAAATCAATTGAATTAAGACCATTATACTCCTTTAGAAGAAAAGATCTGAGAAAAAAACAACAACATCTATCACATCTTACCATTACCTGAAATCTTGGGGTATGTGGAATTTCTTGAAAATGGCAATTAGAACAACTTGTTAGGGCTTAATTCAAGCTGAGGGAAAAGTATGTGAGCAGAGACAATACAAAGATTACATTAATGGCATGCTTTATTCTGGTTTCAAAAGATTTATAAAGTAACTCTTAAAAATTAGCTGCTGGGTGTTTCAAGATATTGGCACTTCTTGAATGTTGCGGATAATACTAGGCGGACAATCACCACTGAATCGCTATCTCACAATTAAAATCTTCAGCAGATGCATGATGAATAGAAAAAATTACTCTGGAGGCATGCAAACTATGGTCATTATACCTATACATTAGCTAGGACTAAAATCATCTCATTTATCACATCAATTCATTTTATACATATACAAGCCAATTTATTTGTATGTTCTACTTATAAATAGGGATCCAATTTAGTGTAGTGTGGATAATGCACGAGGCTAGAAACCAGGAGACTATGAGTTCTAGTCTTTCTCTCTCAATACTAAGGAGGTAATGGCAAATTACTTCAGAAAAACATTGCCAGTAACACTGGAGGGATTTGCCCAGGCAGTAACAAGGAATCAAAAACTGACTCAAAGACATTCACACAAATATATGCAGGAAACAACAAAACAACCTAACAAACCATATCTTTATAAATGTACCTGTAAAAAGCACCTATAGCATTCCCTTATTTATGCTGATTATAGCTATGGGTACTTGAGAGACTGCCTGGGTACTTGAGAGACCGCCTGCTGCCAATTACCTCCCAAAGACCTATTAGATCCCACAGACTAGGCCTCCTCCGAATTCCATCCGCTGGCCAATGTCGATTGGCAACCACTCGGAGGAGGGCCTTCTCTGTGGCTGCTCCGGCCCTCTGGAACGAGGAGATCCGGACCCTCACCACCCTTCAGGCTTTCCGCAAAGCCATTAAAACCTGGCTGTTCCGGCAGGCCTGGGGCTGATGAGTTCCCGTCCCCGCTCGAATTGTGTGGCTGTTGATTGTTTTTAAATTGTCTTTGTATTTTGTTGCTTGTCCTTTGTTTTTTGTTTTGTACTATTCCCCACCCCCCCTGGTTTGTTAGCCGCCCTGAGTCCCTTCGGGAATAGGGCGCCATACAAGTGAAATAAACCTTTGAAACCTTTGAAACCACCACCACCACCACCTCCTCCTCCTCCTCCTCCTCCTCCTGTTTGTTAGCCACCCTGAGTCCCTTCGGGAATAGGGCAGCATACAAGTGAAATAAACCTTTGAACCTATGCAACAGTTTCAGAATGCTTCAATAAAGAACGAAGCAAAGCAAGTTGGCCTTTTCAGTTTGAAGATCAGGTAGTCCTGGACTTGCAACCACTTGTTTAGTGAGTGCTCAGTTATGAGGCTGAAAAAAAGTGACTTACAACCTGTCCTCAATATGACCACTGCAGCATTCCCATGGCCATATGATCAAGATGTTGATGCTTGACAACTGGTATGTATTTATGACATTTGCAATGTCCCAGGTCATGTGATCGCTATTTGCAACTTTCCCAGCTGACTTCTGACAAGCAGTCAATGGGTAAACCCAGATTTCCTTATCTATGTGATTCACTTAACTACTGTGATCATTTGCTTAACAGCCATGGTAGAAAAAGATCATACAATTTTGTGTGACTTATTTAACTGCCTTGCTTAGCAACAGAACTCCTAGTCCAAATTGGGGTTATAAGTAGACAACTCCCTGTATCATATCCATGTTGATTTATGTTGCTTAATTTTACAGTTTTTTGCAGGACTTGTCCTAAGAAATCTTTTTCAGTGAATACAGAGGGAAGAGGGGGGGGGGATGAGAATAACAGGAGAAAACTCCCACAACACTTAACAAATTCCAAGTTGGGGTGAATGCTGAATAAACTTCCATCACTCCATGAAGTATATAAAGGGATTAGGATTATGTAGCAACATTAGCTTGGGTACCCTTATTCTGAAAAGCCCAACTACTTCAGTTGCATGCTGTATTCTTACAGCTGAAAAATTATTTCATGTACAGAATCAGTGGTTAATTTTGATCTGTTGTGCCATATAATAATAATAGACTTTATTGTCATTGTACATGTACATCATGTATACAACCACATTGGTTATATGGCACAGCAGGGCTTAATAAAGAATACTTCCTTGGTATCAAAGCAATAGGAATCAAAATTCTAAAAAAGGCAGTTAATGTTAAAAAATACTGTATTATGATTGGTATTAATTCAATGATTGGAATTTCTGCTATACAAGTGTTTCATTCTTGACAGCTGCACATCCTGTTGAGAATTCCTTGAAACGACAGCTCCAGATGACTCATTCACAGATGACTGGATTCAATGGGATATATATTTTGTCACAAATTAGCTCCTGAAGCAACATATAATGTATCTCATCCATGCACATTAGCATTTTTTCCTAAGAATGCTCGTTTAATTTAGAACATTTAATTTAGAACCATGCATTGGAACTCAAGAGCTGCCCATAATTTGGTGCAAAATAGGGAGCTTAGATAAAAGTTTTAAATAAAGGGAATAATTTTGATAGGGGACACAGCTAAGTGATCCCTTTGTAGAGTTGTTTGTAGGCCTAACATGCTCTACATATAAATTATTATCTTTTCTGAAACTTCTATTTGTGCATAGAACAATGATGCAGTTTTCATACCTCACTCACACACGGCACTGGTCAGTTCAGGCAATATGAGTGCAATGTATGTCCCTATAGCAGTGTAATCTACATTTGCTTTCATATTATTTTATGTTACATTTTGCAATTTCCCATTCCTATATGGCAGACTTTGGACACCAAAAAAATTCTGGCAGAAAACGTTTAGCAAAATTAGAACAGCAGTTTAATATTGGTTTAAGAAAGACTGGTATAACCAGTGACATGCAGTCAGAGGAGACAGGGCCTCACCACTGTCATCATGAAAAGAAAAAAAATTAAAAAGAAAAAGGCTGAGGTAGTTGCTGCCAGAGTCAGTGGATGACTCCGCTTAGTGCTTAACTGTTTAAAAAAGCCTCTAAAAGTGCTCTCTACAGGAGGAGGCAGGAGAACCACATGCCTCATTTAGTCTGACTTTATGATCACTCGAGCAGTTAAGCAAGGATTAAAAGCCGAAAAATTCCTTATGTAGATGTGGCACGTGGTTCTCTTGCCTCCTTCTGTAGAGGGCGTTTTTTTAAGAGGCTTTTTAAAACAGTTAAACAGAGTCATCCATTGGGGACTCTGGCAGCAGCTAATCCAGCCTGACCTCAGCAGCTCTTGCCTTTTTCTTTTTACATTTTCATCATGGCAGACAAGAGCAAAGTTGAAATCCTCTGTGAAACAGCTGGAAAAGGTATGTGGGTCAGAGGGAGGGGGAGGAATTCAAAATTAATGTAATTTGTAAGTAATTGTATTATTTTAAGTAATTTTTGTGTGTGTGTGTGTGTGTGTTTTACCCGCCTCTGCTGGTGCACAGGCTGGCACTTTTTCTTAATGAAGCTTTCCATAGGTCCTCTCTGCTTTTAAAGTCCTCCTTTGGTCTAAGGACGTTTTTCCCCTATGGTGACATAGCGCCGGGGCGTCCAAAAGCCTCTATGGTGGACACAGCGGCAGGGCTTTTGGACATCCAAAAGCCCCGGCGCTGTGTCCGCCATTAGAGGCGGGACATGTCCTGCCTCTATGGCGGACATAGCACCCAAGCGGACATAGCACCAGACATAGCACCCAAGCGGCCAAAAGCCGCTTTCAAGAAAGAGGCTTTTGGAGCCCTAGCGCTGTGTCCGCCATTAGAAGCGGGACGTGTCCCACCTCTATGGTGGACATAGCACCGGAGTGGCCAAAAGCCGCTTTCTTTCTTTTTGCCTCACCAACCATAAACCTCACCGCACGTCACTGGGTATAACATAGTTTTGATTTATAAGTATCTTGAAAGAAATTAACACTGAACACCAGGAATATATAATCTTAAAAAAAAAAATCTTTATTGCCTTGTTATAGCATTTTTATAGCATTTGCAGAATAACATACTCTGATTTTGCAATTGTCTAATTCCTGGGTACAAGAGTTTTGTAATCAACTGCACAAAACCTAAACAGCCATTTGGTATTAATTATGAAAAACTGCCCTATTACTAAAGATTTCTTATGCTATACAAAAAGCAAAATTAACTTCAGTGGAAAAGCAAAAAAGGTGGCTAATATTTGTATTCTGAATAATGTACTATAGGCTTTAGCAACCAAAGCATTGCTTGAAAAATTAGTTTTACTGATTTTACTATTCAGTCTCCTCTAATTTTCATTAAACATTCCTAATCAGACAAATATTCATCACAATCTGCCTTACAGCAACTAAAACATGTTACTTTAAGAACAAAATTTTTCTAAATGATTTTTTTCATAAAAATAACATATATAGCAGATAAATGTAACATTAATTATCTAACGATAATTATAATCACATACACAGAAGCATTGAATGCTTCTAAGTTTTGGAGTATTTGAAGGCGCTTTCCAAAAACTGTGCGATTCCTCTTCCACTTCTAGGGATTGGTGCATGCATCATTTTCACTCCTGAGGGTACAGCTTTAAAAAATGCACTACTGTCAATATATATAACTTTGCTTCATACCAGGGCTGTCAAACTCACGTCGTCATTGCAGTATCACATGACATATCAGGACTTTTGCCCCCTTCACTAAACCGGGTATGCGCGTGGCCAGCATGTGACACATCCGGTCCATGGGGCGGGAGTTTGACAGCCCTGCTTTACACAGAATTACAAAGAACTTACACAAATTTAACACGCATGTATACTCTATATACTCATCCATCAATTGAAAATAAGTACGCAAAGGAAATAAAAGAACCTCTATTCCATAGAACTTAAGTAGATTAGAAATGGAATATTTCTTTTTCAATATGGGAAAAAAGGAAAGATACACTGACATTGAGTTCTTGTGATGATATGGACACAACCATTATGTTTTCTTAGGAATGGCTTGCCACTGGCTTCTTCCAGAATGAGTTGTGGTTTCCTCGCTACCTGACTTGTGTTGCCAATAGTTTCCTATCCAAATACTACCCAAGCCTGACCCATTTAATTTCCCAGCAGAGACAAAACTGGCTAAGTGCTATCTTGAAGCCAAAGCTAATATAACCACATTGGGTAGCTGAACTTCAAAGTTATATTTAGAATTTTTAGGAATTATTGTAATATTTTTATTTGTTCAAGAAGTAGCAAGCTTAGCGGAGCTGCCAGTAAATACAATTGGTCAAAATGCAATATACTTATTTGTGATTGAGTACAGCTAGTCTGCCTTCCCAACCCTGGGAACGGAGGGGAGAAGATAGTATTTCAGATTTCTCTGAAAATGCAGCTACTATGGTAATACCAAAGAATGAAGCAGGAAGCAGTTTACTTTATTTAACACCTTTTGCCAGAATAGTATTATCAGCTAGCTTGAGAAAGTTCAACTGCTTACATTTTCTTCCAAAGAAAAAGACTAGAAATGCACAATCTATATGTTGTCAAAGCCATTTGTCTGACCTTCCAAAATTTACAACCATACAACATGATTTAAATATTAATTATGTTAAATAATTATTAGGAATTAATTATAATTGAATTTAGTTATTTTTCAAACTTTTAACAACTACAATAATTTTATTATTTGTATTAACTGCCCAATTTAAGTGTGGCTTTAGTAGATAAAGCTTATTAAGACCTGACATACTTAAGGATATACTTCAATTAGGAGATATTTCATTAGATTTAATCAATATTATTTTTTAAGAGTTCTATGTTATCCTCACATCTGAAGTTGCAAAAAAAATATATCTCTACTTACCATTACAAGTTGTGGCATCATGATCTTTATTAAGAGATCTGAAATAACTATCATTTTCAGTGCTTTCGACTTTCCCTTTCTGCAATTCAAACACAAGATCACCAATATATATGTACGCTATAGACTGAAATTTGCAAGCTTATCCTTTCATACCTCATTCACTAGATCTTCAAGGTATTTTTTGCAGAGAAAGGCAAAGTGGATTTAATAGTTAAGGAATTACAGTGTGCCAACAACCAAAACCATTAACCTACTTTCGAACTGATAACTTGAAGTGCAATTTCCCAAAACATCTTATTGTACTATTAGTAGTAAAACATTTTGAAATGATTATTAAAAATAGAAACATAAATAATCTATCTTCAAATACTAAAACTCGGCAAAGAGTCTACAAAAGATGTAATACCAATTCATGAAATTGAACTTTCAATGTTGTGAAACAATATTCACTTGTCGAAATACCATTTTTCCAAAGTTGAAAGTTTAAACCAAACATTTTTTATGGTGAACTTCAGTCAAGTGGCAGTGGCTTTTTTGTCTTGTTATTTTCCCATGAATCCTCTTTTTACCCAGTGGTTTACTGAGAATGGAGTGATGACACACAATTTATCCAAGATAAAAGACGCGTGGCGTCCCTGGATGTTTCTCTGAGGTTTTCTGAAAATTTCAAAAATTTTCTGGACAATTTTAAGGAGCACTCATAAAGTTATATCATTCTTAGGAAGACTTATTATTGGCCCAAATCATCTCCGTTTCAAAATGGTTTATTATCAAATTAGAAAATATCTGCAACCAAACAACCAAGCACAGAGGTCACTAAGAACTCAACACTTTAATCCAGAGTTACGTATAATCTAGTAAAACTATATTTCTGATCAAGGATTTAGGAAGATCTAGACTTCTAGAAATAGTTTTGTAACTTTTTTATACAACATTGTCTCAAGCCGACCCGACTTGTGTTAGTGGAAGGGGCTTGCTAAGGAACTGAAGGTGATGGGACCAACGACAAGAGTTTTTTGGCCCTAGCAGAACATTCTACCACAAAGGATGAGAACTGCTCCCTCCCATTTGGCCTTCCAGAACCTGGCCTTTCTGATTGGCCTCCTGGCTTTTGTTCGTTTTAATCTTTTAAATTATTTTTCACTGGTTTGTATAAGTTATTCTGACCAGAATCACCTTGCAGGGGAGATGTGTGGCACAGACATTTAATCAATAAAATTAAATTTCAAAACCAACAAATTTTGTGGACACTGCAGATTATCTCTACAGAGTTGCAAATCATGTGCTTCTGGAATCTCCTGGTAAAAACTTCACTGTAATAGAGTTATGTGATTTATAAAGGACATAACTGTCCCAAATTAGTCCTGATTGTTTAATGAAGTGTTCACAACAACTGGCCATAGATTGTTTTAAATGAATTGCTTGAACAGGGGAGATACTGGATCATTTTATGAAATAAATGAAAGAACCAAACTTTGATATTCTTTGTTAATTAAGTCTCCCTTTATATATTAGCAGGACCCCATATGAAGTGCTGATAACTTCCAATGGAATACATGGAAGAAATTGACAAATTTCAAAGGGAGAAAATACTTAGCTGAAGACCTTAGGGCACCACTTTAATGCTTAACCTCAACAATCACACTCTTTCTCATTCTGTCTCTCACTCACACACACTCACACCACCCATTCCAATAAAATAAGCAGTACAACAGAAGAAAGAAAAACAGTTAAATTAGAAAACTGACCTGGAAGCGTCCAGCATCCAGCACTATCATCTTAGGGTTTGTTGTGCTCTTGCAGTTCTTCTCAGTTAGTGGTAAATGAGATGCAGTTAATTGGATTTCATACATATTTGCTAAAGAATTGCTGATGCAGTATCTAAATTGAACAGCAAAAGCCCATATTGAGACAAAATGTGTCACTGTCATAGCTGAAGAGAGATCCACATGTAATTAATATAAGAAATATGACCTGTACCAAGATGCCATCTAACCGGAAGTAAATCCAAGTAATTTTGTCTGCCATGGTCTGCAAACTCCTACATGTAGCCCTTTTGATGCACCCCAGAGTTCAACTCTAAAAAATCTAATCTAGAATAATGTTTGGCTAAATAGATAGATATTCAGGCTGCTCAATATATCTGAAGAATACTCAGATAACACTTTTTATAGCAGTGACAAATACATTTCATAATATACACTCACACACATTACACTTATATATATATATAAATTCATGAAATATTTAACTAAAAAGAAAGAAAGCAATCAGGACACCGCAGATTATAGATATACCCTCTTACTTAACATTTAGTTTACTAGCACTTTACACCTGGAAATTTAAGATTAAAAACTTGGGTAGAATTTAGCAACACAAAGTTCTGTTCACACAACATTTTTGAATCCTCTTCCTTCTTGTGCTCCCACGCCCTCTCAAAATCTGCTCTAGGGATTTGAAAGCAATGAAAAGTCAAAATCCACCACTAGAAATGTTTTATTGAATTGTAGCATTGGTTTTATTTAGATTAACTTAAAATATATTCTTTCTATATCACCAACAATACAAAAATAGCAGAACATTAAGATAATTGCTGATTGTCACAAGAGTCCACAAATTATTTGCAAAATAACCCGACACCACACAGCTAACATGCCATTCCAAAAGTAATTTTTTCTTCTTCTTCCATTCAATTGTGTCTGATTGTTAGAGATTGCCTGGATAAGTCCCTACAGTTTTCTTGGCAAGATTTTTCAGATATGTTTGCCATTGCTTTTTTCTAAGGGCTGAAAGAATGACATTGGCCCAAGATCACCATTTACTTTGTGTGTAAGGTAGCAAGATACAATCGTTCAGTTTCTAGCTTGTTTCCTTAATTAGTATACTGAACAGCATTTTATTTTTAACCAAAGTGCAAAAGCTTTATAGAGTAAAATAAAAATGTATACTTACGCAATTTTCTTGCATGTAGCAAGAGCACAGAATACAATATCATTTGTTTCATGCCACTGACACCTAAATAGAAGCCATATTTTCATAATGAATCCAGAATTTCAAATGCACATTGCATCAATAATACAGAATTTGTAATGTTAAAAAATTAATATTGTTGAGCTAATGCTTGGGTATCAACACTTTTTCAGTACAAGGTGGTCTTGCAATTTTCTATTGAACTATCTACATAGTTCAAGATTTTTAAACATTCAAAAGCATCAAAAATCTTGGCCTTTAAAATGCCAGAAGAATAAAATCAAATCTACTTTGGTTAATCCCAATGTTTTATGCATCAAAACACAAAACTTTCTAAAAATTAAAATATACATGTATAAATATTTCACACATACATAATATTTAAGTATTATAGTTGTGTTGGAAAAAAACTAAAACAACTCTTACTGTAATTATTAGTTGTTTACTCTATGTATAACATTTTTGGCAACTGTTTAGTGGATTAAAACATTATACTTCCCGTTTTGACTATTTTGTTAAATTCCTTAAACCACTCCTTTCCAAACTTTTTCTTTCATTATCCAAAATCACTTATCAGAAAGTCCTACACTCTTCAAAAACTGACCGTAAGTACTTTCTTTGCACACTGTCATAACTTTGAACAGTTGTTAAATAAATGATTAATTTTAGGATAATCTGAATAATTAAAAACAATACTACTGAATGATCCTTATGCTATTTCAACAAATCACCATTTATATTTTCATTTATTTTCATCTTAATAGGAATATTTTGGGAGAATTTTCTAATATATTTTAGTGCATGTGGCAATCTTTATATCGAGTTAATGGGTACTAGGTTGTTGCTACCTAAAGAAAACCTATTTCTACCCAATTTGGGGTAATTTCCCCAGATTTCGAAAGCACCGCCTTAAACAGAGACCAGAGTACTTTTGCCCATAGAAATTTAGGTCATGTACTTTACAACTAGACATGTATCCCAATTCCAGTCATTAATACAAGTAATTCTTGGATGACGTCTGTCACTAACTGAAGCAGTTAAGTAAAACATTATATGAGTGGGTTATTTAGTAATAACAGTCCTGGATATTGTTGTTAGGCAAGGATCTCACACTTTTCCTGCCCTGCATGGACTGCCTCTCCATTTCAATTTTCCCTCTGCCCAGGGACTCTGTTGGCAATGGATTCATTTCCCCCACACCCCGTCACCTTGACTGCAGGGATCCTGGTAGGCCTGCCAGATGTCAGCAATCTTAGCCGGTCACTAGCCTAGAGGCTCTAATGCACAAAGTTCTACTGTTGCCCTGAACAAAACAAAAACCTATCTAGAGAGTAGATCTCTAGATCCTACTGCATACCAGACAGGACTACAAGTTCTCCATGCCACTGCTGGCCTGGATGGTTCTTTCACTGGGTAGCAAAGTAGGGATATGTTTGCAAGGAGCTAAGACTGCTGAAGCAGTAAAGTCCACCAGGACCTGGCAGAGCATGACTGACAGAGGCGCCATGCAGAAGATCTTGAGGCTGATGGGGGTTGGTGAGTTGAACAGAAGAGAGGCAAAGCAAAGACAACAACAAAAGTCAGCTGGGGACAGAGAGGATGGCAACAGAGAGGGCAACAGCAGAAGACAGTGGCTTCTTCATCTCAGTTGTGCTATATAGGGAAGCCAAAAAAACAGAGATTTTTTTTGGGAGGGTGGGATAGGTGGGAGGGTAGAACTAGTGGACAGGGAAAGAAGAAATGAATATGGGATACTACGATAGTCATAAATGCATGCTGGTCATCAAGCAATTATCAAATGTCAGTGTAGTATCATTGGGACTCTTAACCATCAATTATTAAATCCAATTACTTGAAGCAAGATTTTTTCCCCCTCCCTGATCATAGGAATTATGTATCCCTTCATAATTTTAAAAGTACTATATTCTCCTACTAATGGTTTTCTATATTCCGAGTGTTACAAACTGAAGTAATTATTTCTGTGAACAAGGTAAAGAACCATCAAAACCACATTAAGGTGTAATTTGAAAAAAAAAAGTTATTTATAGTAGATAAAACATTGCAAAACAGAGATATACAAGTTTAGGGCTCTTTCAGAATGTAGAAAGAAAAAGGGAGAAGATTAAAAAATATACCTTGTATTTCCTGAGTAATCCCACATGGAAGCATCCAATGTGTTACACACCCATGTTTTAGAAGGTTCTTTTTGAAGTTTTTTATAATATAGCTCCACAACAAGATCTTCCACATTTAAAAGTTTTAGATGATTGACACTGCCTATTAGAAAAATAAGTTTCAACATCAAGAATATTACAAAATATTTTTAACAATATTCACTTATTATGAAGGTAACAGTTTCTTACCCGTTTCTTTAGCCATATGTTTTAGACACCAGTTAATTCTGAAGTGATCATCAGACTACAAAAATAAAAAAATATTGGAATTAAACTATTTATTTATTCAGTACATAGATATTGACGAGAAACAGAAGAACTTGCTTTCTTTTAAAATGTCCTAAATCTATTATGGCTCTAATTTACTTAATTAGATTACCTTCACAATAACATTGATTATTATGCCATTTGATGCATTCGGTACATATGGATCAATCGCCACAAAATCTCCAAACAGCAATACAAATAATTATGTACAATATAGAAACAGAAATTTATAAACTACTAATGGATTACACAAAGTGTTCAAAATCATGGAATAAGTTATTAGAATAATTGCCTTCTTACACCTTTGTCAACTAATTTTTAACAGGATTTAATTATTTTTGCCTCTGAAAATTTTATAATTTTAACATTTAAATTTTTATATAGTTTTATATTTTGATTTTTTATTGTACACTCCCTATTTGAGGAAGATGGGCAGTTCAGAAATATAAAGGCAGACAGATGAATAAATACCGGTGCATGAACTTAAATGGAAACAATTTCAATACCTACACAAGTCTTTTAATAATAGTGGGTCAAATATTGGAGATGTAGTGCTCAAAATTTGACCTTGGTTTACATGAGGTTAGCAAGGCTTATAATACTTGAATGATCATAGAAACATTAGACATCTACAGTATCTACTCTTAAATGTTTGAGGAACAAGATAGCAAAGAACTTCTTTTAACACGGAAGGCTCAGATTAGATGAATAACTGATCAAATGCCTTTTAATTAATATTAGCAAAAGGCTTTATCCCTATGGCTGGATTCTTCTATGTAGAAATATATTTGGATGGATATTCTTATTCAATTACTTCTCAGAAATTTGAATGTGAAGTCAATGTACCTTACAATATACAGATGGCCAGTTGCCCCTTTGTGGTTTGATGAACTCATATAGGTCATGCAACACAACTGAGTAACTTGCAGTTGCAATATCAAAACCAGATATGGGAATTTTATGAGTAGCATCACCTAAGGGAACATTCAAAATATTTTAAGATGCAAAGTATCATTCATACATATTCTAATCTTAACTATACTTATAGATTGCAAGATCTATATATCAATTCTATAATGAAAGCTTGAATATCTTAATTTGATGTTTATTAAAATATTCAATAAGAACAAAACTAGTCTCATACACAAGTGAAAATGTTTGTCATAAATGTAGAATAATATGTTCTGATATAAAGCATCTCTTTGAAATAAAGATTTTCCAAAAGTTGAACCTTGCTGTATTATTAATTTAAAGTACTATCCATAACCAATGTTTGATTTATCATTCAGGGGGACATTCTAGCTTGAATTTTACTGAAAAATGTAATATGCAATGTTCAATCAATTCTGGAGATCAGATGATACAAGTGCCACAATGAGCTAAAAAAACTCTAAATGAAAGTTTTAAAAAAGGTATATAATTGTGAAATTGTTGAAGTTTCTTAACAATAGCATGCTACATAGCATAAGTTATAGAGGTAAAATCAAATGTTTCAGAAAATCTGAAACAATACCTAACTGATGAGAAAAAAAGGAGTAAAAATTTAGTCAAATTTATTGAATAAATCTTTGTTTCAGCTTTTGTGTAATATTCACCTGCAGCCTGGCAATGAAACCGAAATCCCCGTGGTACTTCGCCTGCAGAACACCAAAAATCAACAAAATACATTCATTGACATTGTGTGATGCTAAATTGTTACCTGAATACCTATAATTTACCGTCCTTCTTTCAGTGCCATTGTTAACTTCTTATGGTAGTTGAATGAGAACTAGCTGTACTTCTCTTGCAAGACATTAGCCAGATTTAAGAAATAAAAAATAAATTAAGATCATAGGAAACTTTCACTGTTAAAATACTTTTTCTTTGTGATGTAATGTTTATTAGATCATCATCGATTCATCACAAATAATATTGTCAAACCGTTTTGGCCATTATAATTTTTATTTTTTAGTATGCAGGAATTATTAAACCAGATTCTTGAACAAACTGAAACCTACTTCTTTCAGAATAGGCCTGAACCTCTATGACCCTTTCAGATAAATCAGAACAAATCAATTCTTCCCTTTTTCCAACACTCACCAGGATTTATAAAATGATGGAATTCTGCAATTATGCCATCCTTAAGTGAATATTTGATACACCCAATTTCACAAGGGAGGAAACGCTGATTACAGTGAGGGGGCAACACTCCATGACTGAAGATATTCAGAAAGTAGAATGAAGTTTCGAGCACATCTGAAAAAATGATTTGAATCAAATTAGCAATATATTTTATTATGTGATTAATATTTAATGCTAATATAGTTGCTTCTAGATGATACGGTTAGCCTATAAATCTAATAAATGAAATAAATTTTAACACAAAATATTTCAGTTTATTTAAAACACTTGATATAAGATTTTAGCTTTCCCTCTAGAAAAATGAATGTTGTCTTCATTTCATTGACTAAAATCCTGGTTTATTGGCCTAGCTAAAACAATGTAAAACCATAAATATGAAATGATTTATAATTAAAAATAGTTCATGGATTTAATGTTAACTCATGTAAATAAGGATTAAACAGTTACCAATCAATGTAAACAAAAACACAAAGTCAAAATAACTTATTTCAATACTAATTACCATTTGTTTAAACTCATTTAATAGCAATTATCCCATCAGCTTGATAGCTTTACTTGACCTATCCTATAATCAGGCCTTTATTCTAAGCATGCTACTACATTTCTTGGACACTACTAAAGCCTTACTTTATATACATTTAATTTCTGTAATTTACTACTGTTTCCTTGGGACCCCTTCTGATACATATATCATCTCCTGACACCTACCACATTTACAGAACATTTAAGCTAAAGTGCTCAAGAGATGGATTATCTTTAAACTACACTTTACCTTGTTCATACTTAAATGTGCTTGTAAGGTTTGTAAGAGGAATCATATCCTGACTTTGGGTAGGTATTGGGACTTCTTTACGTAGCTAAAAAAAAATCATTCAATATTTATCAAATGAAGAAAAAACATATATAGAATGTTCATTTCTAGGCACAATGTTGTTTGACAATATACACAGAAACCCGTGATTGAGCTTATACCATGATACACACCAGACAGACCTATAAGAAAACCCTCAACTTGAAAACATTTGTTCGGCAATGGTTCAAACTTATGATAGCAACAAATGAAGGGATGTACCTCTGCCTGAAATTTACAGCTGCTGTAGCACCCTCATGGTCACATGAACAAAATTGAAGTGTTTGGCAACTGATCCTACATGGAGACTGTTTGATGGTGTCCCAGAAGACAGTGCAATTTGAGGGGGGATTCAGGAGTTTGATTTCAGAATGAGGAGCTGACTTCTCCATCCCTTGGCCTCTTTATATTGCACCAAAGCCATGGGGCACAGTACAGAAACTGACACCATATCAGAGTGACCATAATTCATTGCAGCTAGGCTCAGCAAGGTGTGAAGGCCTGTGTGGACTCAACGGGTAGGAAAGCAGGCCCAAGGTAAGCAGTGCCTCGGGGTAGGTGAGGCCCTAGAAGGCAATATATCCTCTAGGAGGCAACTTATCCAGGGAAGTACTACAATGGGATCATGGACTAGGTTTCTGCCACCAGAAGCACGACGTTTCTCTTAGCAGCCCATGTTTACTTAATGACAAGGGGAGCAGAACTAGGATGTTAAGTGACATGGGTACCTGATTTAACAACCAACATTATTTTTGACTGTTAACAGGCAGGCTCTGTTATGGTCATAAGTTAAGAACTGTTTTCTACACACACACAGACACACACACGTGTGTGTGTGTGTGTTTATGCAGATAGTAGCAGCATTATTAAATTATGTGTTTATACGCTTATATCATCTTCATGCAAATACAGCATAGCTGATACTCATCAAGAAGGCTGGGCAACTCACTAAAATAAATTAAGTTTCTATAAACATTGCTATCAGAATAGTAGCCATGCCATTTTCCTTTCTTCAGTTGAGCAAAATCTTTAGGAATGGGAGGACAGTAACATCTCTACTTTTACATTTTTCCTTCCATTCTTGCAGTCTGAATATCCTTGAAGGGCCTAGAAGTAATTATAGCACACCTTTCCAAATATTACTGTACTAGAAACCTTGCTATGTAAACTTCCCTTCTATTTTTAATAAAGAGTATCAAGGGGAAAATGCAATATATAAATATGATATTAAAGCTCTAATTATGTGAAAGGTGGGAAGAAGAAAATTACAAACAGCAAGGTGGACGGACTCCATTACAGTGGCAATAAATGCATTGTTTGGGAGACTTGAAAAAAAGATTATGGATAGATTATCATAGAAAAAAGGCATGTGGTTATCATACATCAAAAACCATTTGATAACACATAATCATAGGCTGGTACATAGCCAATCCTGTGGCTATCTTCATATTTTTATAAGATTTAATCTACTATTTGAGATAAATCTAGACCAATCTGCTCTCCATTACACAGGAAAAATTCAGCTTTTTGAAACAACTTTCACTCCGTATCTTTCTCTACATACCTACAGGTAATTTTTATTACTTATTCCTCGATTTAAACTCAATTGCGCTTGAAAATAATTCTATTTACCTTTTCTGCTGCTACTTCTGATTTGGTAGCTTTCCACTGACGAGCCATTTCTGCATATTTTTCTTTTTGCTCACCATTAAGTAGCTTAGGAGTAAAAACAATTACATAAATCCTTGCATTATTTTCTCAATGTTTTCTGCCAAATCATCCACTGACTTAATCCAACAGTACTCACTTGGGAAAGTCAAACATGCTAACATTAACTCTAGTCAAATGTTAGATTAGGTTTAGTAACTTTCATATAGTGCTCTTCCTCAAGTGTTATGTAATAGCTCAATGCACCTTATACTGTCAGTGGAAGGCTGAAACATCATTTTAACAGTAGTTATTTTAAACATAATATATCTTATTTCTAGAACAAAAACTGAGGTAGGAAACAATTTGTTAGTGCTGCCTAGAAATAGGAAACCAGTTTTCCTCTTAGGCATGAAAGCTGGTTGGATGATTTTGATCCAGTCACACCCTCTCAAGATAGTTCCTTTGGGGAAAATAGCAAGAGAGTAATATTAGGTTTGTTCTCTGCCTTGAGCTTCTTATAAAATAATGAAGGCAGGATAAAAATCTAATAAAATAAAATTCTACTTTTTAGTACTGCAATTGCTATTGTTAATGTTATTAAACATTCTACCAATGCAGAAATATTTGGGAAGCAAATCTCCTTTAGGTTGCAAAACAATTTTGCCAGTCCCATCAGTGTGGCTTAAAGGCCAGGAAATTTAGTGCTTGAGGACAAAACCAAAAATAATAAATCACTTGAAATAAAGCTATTCAAATTAATCATTTGAAAGTAATGAATTGTTGAGCATTTCAAAGAAGGTGCTTAAGTTATCTTCAGGTCACAAGAGAGGAAACTCCTTATACTGACTAGCAGAGCAAAAGGAACAAAGCAAGTGTAGGTTCTTGACTTTAGAGAAGCAATTTAATTGTAAAGCAATTTAGTTGTAAAGAGTTTAAGCATTTGTGTGTCCAAATTTTGCAGCTTTCTTACAAAAGGTTTGGAAAGCAGCAAATAATACACACATCTTAAAATTCAGGAAGAAACCATTTTTAGCTAATGAGCTCGCAATTTCAATTTTTTTGTGTAACTATGGCTACCAAATCTCAGCTGCAAAAAAATTAAAATAAACTGTCATCAACCACCGGCCTGATTTTTGCCGTCCAGATCCGACGGCTTTATCACGTTTTAACTGCAACCTCTATTTTGCCTCTTTAAAGCGCCTTCTAGCGTTATCCAAAGAATCGTAGTGGTCACATAAAGGTAGTATTATTACTAGAGTATTATACTAGGAAGGGTCTGACTACGTTAGAAGACGCTATAAATAACGAGTAAGGAAATATCAGGTCAGGTCCTTGCAAGTGGAGGGGTGGCCATTCCCATGACTTTTTCTTCAAGTCCCAAGACCGAAAGAGAAGGTGCGGCGACGCTCCCTCACCGCCCAGGCATCGGAACAATACGGGACGGCCTTAGCGACGCTGGTCACAGCCAGGCCCTGCTGCTTCAACTCCGGCAGCTTCTCCAGCACGAAGAAATAATAAGCGTTGCGTGAGCCTCTAGAGCTCGCCATTTCGCACCACACTTGCAGGGGAATCGGCGGGTAAAGAGGAGGGCGGGTCTCCTTTTTTAAAGGGAGGATGGGCCAATCCTGTGCCGCCTTTCTGTGTTCTGAGGCCAACACGTGGCAAACGAGAAATAAAAAGCGGGCCGAAGGAGTTGATTGGTCCCTTGAACTGCGGGGGCTGATTTTACTTTCTTTCTCTCCAAGGTCTTTCACACCTGCCCCCCGGTCATCATTTAAGGCTACCGTATCTGGTTTGCCTAAATCGGGTCTATCTCTACAGGGCAAGAAAGAAATCGAATTTTTGTAGGCGAAGTATTGTAGCTGTTAACACAGAGATCTTCAAACTTGGCAACTTTAAGACTTGTGGACTTCAACTCCCAAAATTCTCCAGCCAGCTGGTTGGAGAATTCTGGGAGTTGAAGTCCACAAGTCTTAAAGTTGCCAAGTTTGAAGATCTCTGTTAACAACTGCCAGCTCTAAGAACTTCCCCACCATCCAGTCAGACCTGAAGAAGCGTCTTCAAAGAAAAAAACAAGGAAGCCCAGTTGTCTTTGAAAAGAAAAGGGGGAGAAAAGCACCTTTGAGATAACCATGACCTGGATGATTGAGAATACAGTGTTGAGTTCTGGCCCAATGCCTAAGATGTTGGGGCAAAAGTGGTTATTTATTTGGTTATTCAAAAATGGGTGAGAAAGCAACCATGGTGAAACAAATATTCTTAGGAGGGATAGATTGCTTAGTACTTTGAATTAAAAGCAAAAAGGAATACCTTTAATGTGAACAAAAAGGAAATGATTGAGGTATCCAGTCTCTTCAAATTTATTTATTTTATTTTTTGTTTGATTTGTCAATCGTCTACAAGACAATAGGTATAAGAATAAACATGAGTATGAATGAAATGGGTACCAACAAATGGAGACAGTAGGACAGGGACGCTAGGCACAATGGAGCGCTTATGCATGCCCCTTACAGACCTCTTAGGAATGGAGTGAGGTCAATAGTAGACAGTTTAAGGTTAATGTTATGGGGATTTGAAGATGTAACAACAGAATCGGGTAGTGCATTCCAGGCATTGGCCACTCTGTTGCTGAAGTCGTATTTTCTGCAATCAAGTTTGGAGCAGTTTACATTAAGTTTGTATTTGTTGTGTGCTCTTGTATGTTTGTTTTTCTATCCTGGTATTCATGTTCTATTCGGATAGCTCTTTTCCTACCCTCTTTTGCTAGAGCAAGCAACATAATGTTATCTTTGGACAGTAAAGCCCCACTCCCACTCCCATTAATACTGTACAGCCTTTGGTGGAAAAAGACTACAGGTAGTCTTCAACTTACAACCACAATTCAGCCCAAAATTTATGTTGCTAAGTGAGAAATTTGTTAAGTCAGTTTTGCCCCACTTTACGACTTTTCTTGCCATTGTTGTTAAGTGAATCATTTCAATTGTTACATTAGTAACATGGTTGTTAAGTGAATATGGTTTCCCCATTGACTTTGCCTGTCCAAAGGTTACAAAAGGTGATCACATGACCCTGGGACACTGAAAATGTCATAAATGTGAGCTAGTTGTCAAACTTCCGAATGTAAATCAGGTGACCATGGGGATGCTGCAATGGTCATGTGTGAAAAATGGCCATAAGTCATTTTTTTCAATGCTATAACTTTGAATGGTCATTAAGTGAACTGTTGTAAGTGGAGGACTACCTGTATAAAGTTAAAACTGGTAACACAGATCTGTTCTAAGCAGAAGGAGAGAAACCAAAATCTCAAAACATGCAGTTTCTTATTTTGATTTACTTACTAAAGGAATCAATACAGCATATTTTATTTTTTCATTTATATCCTGCTTTTACCATTTTTATAAATTAAAGGCATAAAATATGCCGAATACCTCTTCCATTCTATTTTTTTCCATAACACCCTTGTGAGATTGTTGGACTGAAAATGGTTGGTCCAAAGTGATCCACTTTGGTTTTCATGCCTAATATGGGACTAAAACTCACTGATTTTTGTTTTCTAGTCTGGTGCTTTAACAGGTAGACCAAACTGGCCTTTTAATTTTTTACATATTTATTTATTAATTTAATTTTTATTGCTTATTCTGGTTATCGGGCCCCTGCCAGTTTGAAGTGCTATTTATTTATTTATCTTTGAGTCAGTAAGAAACTACTTGGAATTTAAGCCTGCGTCAAATCACTGCAGTCACTCAATTCACTTCTTGGATGGAGATTGAAGTGTTGGGTGTGTTTATATAAATATTGAGAGTGTGAATTAAATCCAAGCAAGTGTTTTGAGATAACTGGTTACAAATAGTTTTTAGGTATCTTGAAGCTTCTTCTGAACGGTATTGAAATAAATGAATCTAATCCAATCTGTTAGAATCTGGTCTAACCTCAGTACAGCTAAGGGTATTTTAAGTGTCTCCTGCTATTTTTGTTTTGAAGTAGATCACTTAATAATACATTCAGCTGAAAATGCAGGCTCTACTTCTTTTTGGAGAGAAATTCCATGCCAATCTTGAGTTTTAGATTCACTGTCAATAGGACAAAGAGCTGCCATTAACCTGCAACGTTAGCAACAAAAAAACTTAGATTAGTATTCTCTCCTACCCTCCAACCTGTAACCTCTATCTAATTTACAAGGGAAATCATAATTCTCAATACTATTTTCCCCAAAGAAAATATTTTTATGAGACATTTTAGGGTTTTTTGTGATTTTCTCCGCTAGGAGAAAATCATGGGCCATGCTCTGGCACCTGCTCTGCTATACCATATCATGCAAATAAAAAAGATTGCTTTTGGAATGCCAGCTAATGTAATCTATAAGTAAGAAAAGCTGTTGTATGGAATAAAAGAGCAGAGGAGATTGGGAATGAGTCATATACTAATTTTTTGGCCAACAAAATGTGCTTGACTGGTTGGAAGCTTTTATTGTGCAGTTAAACAAAGAGACTTAACTATTGTGTAGTTAATAGTCTTGAGGAAATAATGGCTAGAAAAGAATACCCATGCTTTTTGTTTTTGACAGATTAAATTGCTTCTCTAAAGTCAAGAACCTACACTTGCTTTGTTCCTTTTGCTCTGCTAGTCAGTATAAGCAGTTTCCTCTCTGTGACCTGAGGATAACTTAAGCACCTTCTTTGAAATGCTCAACAATTCATTACTTTCAAATGATTAATTTGAATAGCATAATTTCAAGTGATTTGTTATTTTTGGTTTTGTCCTCAAATAAGAATAGGTTACATTGATGGCATCCTAACTTGGTTAAAGTATGTTATAGAAAGTGAATTCGTGGCATTGGTTAACCACAGAGGTTTCTGGTAGTACTTTCCGCCGTTTCTTCAAGGCGTTTTGTGATTTTTGGAAATCTAGTTTTTGGACATCATTAAAAGTTTTATATAGCAACACCTTTATGTGCCTGCATGCAAATAGCATTAGATAGGACATTGCACAGCTTGGGAAAGAGAAGTCTTTTCCCATACCGTCTATGGTGCTTCAACTCCTTTGATGAGTTGTTAAATTTTAATTTACTTTTATTAAATAGGAACCTAGACTAAGACTACTGGAATATCAACCAAAATATCTGCAAATCAACAAGTCAGGACTGGCATCATTTTATAGTGATGTCTAGCATCAGATATTTGCTAAATACCTTTTCCATGGTTAGTGTCATATTTGGCTGAATTTTCCAAGTAAATACACTCATACAGTGTTTACATTGTTTATCTGTGGGATAATTGGTTATTAAGTATAAATTGTACACTTATGCCCTTGTATGTATAACTGCTTTTTCTCAGATCAATTCCTTATTATTCTTGGCTGGCAGGAAATTGAAAAGGCATCAAGTTAGAAAAGGTATTATATTGTAATCTCCAAGGCTGGGGACTCTGTTGCTCTTACTGATCAAATGTCATGTATAAGAATTGATACACACACACACACACACACACACACACACACACACACCACACACACACACACGTCAATATCAGGTGACAGCATATAATAGGATTTAATAACAAACTCTTCTACAACATTTGACAGAGCTTTTTGCTTTGTAACTATAGATAGCACCATGACCTTCAAAGCTGGAAACGAAATATGGACCTTGGGGAGTCATGCATTGTCTGACACTCTTCTAAATAGTTTTTTTTTGCTGTGTCCTTTATTGTACATTGCCTGATAGTAAGCTGTCCTTAGAAGACCAACTTGACAACAGCTTTAAAATATGTGAATGATGAGCATGTACACATTACATCTGATTGTTGAAAGACTGCAAAACAAACATTCACTGAATTCAGCCTGAAACAATATAATATGTTTAAGAGCTTCAACTGTCATTTATTTATGGTTTAAAAACATTTGTATAAAATCAACTCAGGCTAATTTATTGTAAATGTGAGGAGAAAGATTCCACATAGAATGTAACCACAAAGAAATGGTTACAGTGCATGAAAAAATTCACTCATTGAATAATATGAAGTCAATGCATGCACTATTCATGGGTACTTTCTGTGACATGCCAGCTTTAGTGAATGCAATGAAGTAATTTAGCAACATATATTTGTTGAGGGCTGCCTGATACTCACAGAGCTATAGAAATAACTGTTTCTATGGAAATTGCTGCAAGGTAAAAGCAGTGCTGAAAAAAAATGTGTAGATAGACATAAAAGCACAATTAATTTCCAAATGTAAAATTTCTGTAATAATTAAGGATCTGAATACTTCAGTATTTCTTAAACACAAGTTAGATTATGCATAGTTAATTGTGGTACAATCATTTTGTACCACTTTGATCCTGAAATGTGCATATATAAAGATAAAATGTTGGTTACAGATATACCTCATATTTTGTCTGTTACTGCTCTACATTACTTAGTATCTCTTAATCTCCTATTTTATTCCTATAGAAGCACTGGAGAAATTGCAATACAATACACAGCTTTTATAGAAATGTGATTATTTGGATTGAGCTTTGTTGGTGCATTGATTAGAAAGCAGTTGCATGCAAAGTCTGCCCACAATCTGGAGTTCAGTCCTGACGGGGTCAAGGTTGACTCAGTTGCCCATCTTTTCAAGGTCAGTAAAATGAGGATCCAAATTGTTGGGAGAAATATGCTGACATTGTAAATCACCCAGAGAGTGCTGTAAAGCACTATGGAGTGGTACATAAGTCTGAGTGCTATTGCTATTGATTTACTAATAGAAGAAAACTACTTTAGAAATATTTACAGTTATGTTCAGAGAAAATCCATCTTCCTATATTGAATCGTTGTCATTCCTTTTTACCACAATGTAAAATATATCTGATAGCTGAATTAGGTATTTCTCTGTGCATTTACAATCTACAGATAGTTTGATATTTTTTGGGGGAAAAATAGTTTTTCCAAATGTTCTGTTTTAACTCAAAATAAATCTGAAGTCAGTTAAGAAGTGAACTAGTGGTTGGGATGGAATCTGAACAATTGAAAATTAAATGTATATTTATGAAAACAGGCTTAGTATAGAAGTGTCTTTAATGTCCCAATTAGAGTCTGTCATGAATGAAGGCAAATAATAATGTTGCAAAACCAATCCGGACCAGACGTTTTGTCTTCCGAGCTTTTGGACTCGTGCTGAACTCCATTCTCAGGGAACTTCTCTTTAGAGAATTTTTTTTTCTAGAGAAAAGTTTCCTGAGAATGGGCTCCAGCATGATTCCAAAAGCTGGGATGACAAAATGTCTGGTCTCAGTGACTGATCCAGAGTGGATCCTGTAGATTCTGTTTATATTACTAAATACTTGTCTATTAGCTAATGTAAATGTTTTCTATTAACATTTTCCATGGAGAAAATACAGTTAAATGTTCATGAAGTGATCTCTTTTGGAGTGAAGAAAAATTATTTGAGCTTCTTTGAATGTAACTGAGTTGGTATAAAGACAAAGTATTTGGTGGCAGTTGTCAATGTTTATTTGTTAGGGTAGCTAAATTAATAGAAATGTTTATTCTATAGAGTTTTGAACAGTAATTAAAGGTCCTCAGAAAAGGGCCATGTGGAGCCAAAAGAACAAAATTAAGGAGACAAAGTAGCTTCCTTAATGGGTTATGATTATGCTGGAGACAATTCAGTTTGACTTCCACAAAACATTTGACAATATCTCCTATGATACCTTGATTAGCATGTTGTGTGGACTGGATAAAGAAAAAAAATACATTGCTGAAAAAGTGTGCTAAAAAAGTGCTCATTAATGATTTCTCATCAAATTGGGGGAAAATATTGAGAGGTGTCCTCTCTGAGATGGTTTGATATCCTCTACTTTTCATTATTTTTAATAGTGACGGATATTAATAGGGATACATGCTATATTTGCAAATGACATGATATGGGATAGTGTAGGGTAGCTAATATATAAGAACACAGACTTTTAGTTGGGGAATCCTAATTGATCAACTTACCTGGCTCTAATACAGTTTGAAACCCTGCAAGTAGTAAAATAATCGAAATTTGGAATGAGCTACATTGTTTAAGATTTACAGATAATGGGAAGCTGTGTTAACGTAGTGGGTTTATTGACCCTTCTCTGTTTCTCCTTTCTTTTTGGGTGTGTGTGTGCTTTTTTTTTTCTTCTTTATTTTTTATTATTCTCTTTTTTTTTGGCTTTTCTTTTCTTTTATTTTTTTAATTTTAAAGTTAGCTGGCCTTATTATACTTAAATGCTTGTTAAAGAACTATGCCGGGTATGGGACCTGCGAAGCCGTAAGGGGGCTAGGGAGGGGGGATTATAGGGGGGAGGGTGGAATTACAGTTTCAATTCTTAGAACAATAAGAATTCACTTGTATACTGCGGCTCGTTTTCCTTTTTTTTTTCTTTTTCTCTTTTATTTTTTTTAAAAAAAAAAACTGATGGAAGAACACAGAAATAACATTCATAATGAATTTGCTAGTTGGAGAAGTGATTTGAAAATAACCGAATGAGCTGGACATATACAAGTGTCTTTACTTTGGAAACAAATATAGATGCTCAGATATAGTTTGTATAATAGTAATTGTGAAAAAGTGATGGGAATGGTAACTGATTGCAAACTATTAGCTAGCCATGGGATATGACTACAGAAAAAAAGCAAATGCAGTGTTGGAAACTTTTGATCAATAAAGATTTCTAAATCACAGGAACTATTTTCCATTTTTTTCTGCTTTAGTCAGATTCCATTTTGACTTACGGGGTTGAGTTTGGGGTATCTTAAGAACACTTCAGAAAAAAAACCTGGAAGAGGATCAGAGAAGAGCAACAAAGATTATCTTGGAATTGACACCTTAGTTTTATGAAGAGAATAAGACAATTTTGGGGGTGGGGGGGGGAAATCACTGAACAGAATATAGTAGCACTCTTGAAAAAAATGAAGGAATTTACATAAATGGAAGCCAAGACTGAAGCTCATTCATTCTATGATGTCATTCAGACATAGAAAATGTAATATAGTAGTAAAAATTCTAGTCATATAAAAACCTGTTTTCCAATGTAAGAGCACTTCAGCAGTGTAAGCATTTACTGAGGGAGGGAGTAGAATATAGTCAAGAAATGGCAACACAATCAAAAGTCTGGGCTGTTTTAATTTGAATTTCTTTTTTGGGTGGGGGTTTCAACTACTCGATCTAAATGACCATTTCCACCATTCTGATTCTATTTTTAGTGCCCCCTGCTAAAAATGGTACATGGAAGATCTCAGTGTATCTCATTATTCCAAATTGAGATATACTGGTACTTGTTTTATAGCTACATTTATTTCCTCTGTTGGTTCTTCATGACTTGATGCTTGCTCTGCCAGCAGGAACATCAGCCAGTAAGTTTTGCATTTGGGGTGGGGGTGGGGGGAAGAAAATTGCATATTAAAACAATTTTTAAATGTTTGGAAACTATAGCATATAGAATCATCCTGCATCTATTATTGTTACTAAATGTATCAAGTGTATATGGGAACTCATCCATATTTAAATAACATATCATCTACTTTGCTGCACATTACAGCTTGAAGGAGATTTCACCACTAGATTCAATGGAATAAGGTTAGAACATGAACAGTAGAACAATCTATAGAATTTTAACAGGTTGTGCCTGATAATTGCACTTACCTGTTACAAACGGCATCTCCACTAGCAACTTATAGTGTTTTTTACAATAATTCAATCAGTGTTGTGCCAAAATAATAGTATTGAGGGCAGGCTTTACAACACTTTCCGCAACAGCTGGGAAATGCTATGAAGACATTATAAATCACTTTGAAGGAAATGGTCACAAAAGTTTCATTGCTTGCCTTACCTTCTTCCCTTTCTCTAATTGATGCAAATACAAAGTTGTAGATAAGTGCTCCTTTTTCAGTTTCATTCTACAGTACTGTAAAATTATGAGGTGAAAAAATCATGCAACTTTATTTAAACATTAGTCTCTTCTTTTAATTTTCACTCACGCCTTTTAGATATGATTGGACTTTTTAGGCAGGCTGGTTGACCCTAAGAATTTCCAGTGATGAACTCTCTCTGTTCCTGGACAGTTTCAATGGACTGCCATGTGATTTAGACACTCTTGTAGTCTAAGAATGATGTCAGGGGAGGTGATGCTTAAAAACATAATAAGATTTAAATATATTTTCAATCTGGATTTGGTTTGAGTAAAATAACTGGCTAACAGTGATTTTATCTCCTGCCCAAGATTGGTAAATAAAGCAAGAGAGAATAGAATTATTAGAATAGAACGTTGCATGCTTTTGTTTCCCCCTAGCAGAATGGTAGCTCCCATTCAGAACTCTGTCTATTCACACACTGAGTTGTGTGGTGGAAGACCTGCAGATAACGGAAAGAACTGTTCTACGTGCCACTTCACAGTATTCAAAACAAGGAGCTTTATTTACTTTCTGGCTCTGCTCCCTTCCCTGCTGTTCTTCTGCCTGGACAGACTACAAGATGGACAGGGTCTTACTGGGCTGGACCACTTTTCTGTGGATGACAGGTAAGGTTTTTTTCCCTTTAATTTCTTTGTGGATTAAGAACTTTTTGGATTGCAAATAAAGATTTTTGGATTTCTTTGCAGGCACGCTACCTCCTCGATATTATATAAAGCAATGAGAGGCACAGAGAGCAAGATGCTGAGCAAATAGAAAATCAGTGTATTTGACATACAATCTTGTTTCATATATCAACAATATACCCTTTTCTTCATCACATAACTATTTAAGAGAATTTTTTTTCCTGTTCTAAACCTCTCCTCTTGATTTGATTCAGTGAGACTTAATCTGGGAATGAGTTGCCACAATATTTAGTGTGATGAAGAACATAAATTACTGAAATATTTTTCTTTTCCTAAGGGTGCCATCTCTGGAATTTCTTTGTAGTTGATTCCATGCAAAGAAATATATTTTGTAAATCTACAGAGAATATGGAGAGTTAGCATGATAAGGGCAGGCTGAAGATTCTTTGAGCTCTGAGAGAGGAAACAGTTTTCCACACAAATGACTTGATTTGCAAAGCAGTCATTATTACTCTTTTTGTCCATACTCCACGAATACAAATTAATACTCTCTATTCTCTCATAAACATTGAATAATCTCCAGATTATAAATCTGCAGCAGAAGGACGAAATCATTTTTAGATCATCCTTTAAAAAAAATCACTTCTACAGTCTAGCATGCTTTGATATGGAAGGAAAGGGGGTAGTGATTTGGAATGGTGAACATTTCAAATAATATCAACCAATCAATCTTCCAATTCTTGTCTTAGTCTGCAATTGTCTTAAGAACTAGAAAATTGGAGGGGACTAATAAGCTTTCAGAAAGTTTTAAACCCATTATAGTTTTCATCCCTGTTACAGTTTATCTGCATAGGAAAGTTTGTGGTTTCTTTCTCTCTATCAAAGATGTCTGATACCCCGAAGATCCCAGATTATCTATACTTCCTTTTATTTTGTGGAACATCTATAAATAGCTATTCTTGCTTTTGAAATCAACTTCACTTTGCCTTCCAGAGTCACCATGCTCAGTCATTGAGTTATTCCGTTTCCAGATTGCTGAAACTGTAGTGTGCTGATGGAAGCCAGGAAGCCCTGCATTTGTGTTTTCTAACACAACAGTGATTTAATTTAGGGAGGTTAAGGAGTGTTACATTAAGCCAAACAAATGATAGCCTACTTGAAGCAATCCAGGTGTAATACAAAGTAATTCTTGGTGTCATTGTACAGTGTGAAGAGGTAATTAGAGGCAGGGATCATGCAATGTCCAGTTGCTGACACAGGGATAATGATGGCATCCTGGTGAGTTTTTCTGCCCCTATTTCTTTTCAAGGAGGTATCCAACTTTGCTGTGTACTAACTGAAATTATGTCTTGCAATAAATAGCATGGATATAAAAAAATACAGGACAGGATCACATAAAGTACATGAGGGTAATCCTAAAAAAAGATTAAGATACTCCAGCATTGTGTAATATGCCTTTATTAATTGATTCCAACTGATTTTGATTGTTTGAAAGGATATACTCCATTATTTTGCTATAAAATTGCTACTTTTCTTGTTACTGATCAGGACTCCCTCAGAAAACACACCATCTAGCTTTGCTTTTACCAAATCTGTGTTACTGTATAAAATTATATACATAGCAGTGTACATTGACTTTCACTGTATGTAAAATAATCTCATTATTTTTACACAGCAATGTATACAATTTAGCAGAATTACTTTCACAAATGCTACCTATGTAAAAATGATGCCTGAAGATGCCTGAGGTAATTCTTTCCTGGGGAAGGGGAAAACAACTCTTCAGGCTCCCTGTAAGATTGACACTTCTATGGGCAGAATGTCATCTAGTCATTTCTTCTAGGAGTGGTGGAAATATTACTTTGTATCTAAGTATAGCTAGAGAGGATCCTAGGAAGCTGCCAGTACTGCAATATTGAAGTTATATAAATGGGTTTGGGTTTATGGAAGTACATATACGATACAAGAACATATATGAACCAAGGATTTTTAGAATAAAAGTAATCTGAAAAAGGTTACTGTTGATAGTATCTCTGAATAAATAAAGAAAAAAATAAGATTGGCAGTTAAGTCTGGTAAAGGTCTGCCATTATTTATTTCCTCAATTTATATAGTCCTCCACTATTACTTAATTAAAATTATATGCTGCCCATCTCACTCCATAAAGTGATTCTTTCAACTTAGTTAACAAAATTTAAGGGTTAAAATAATCCTAAAACAAAATGGTAAAATAATAAAGCATAATAAGGTAAAATGTACTATGGAAGAGGATCATACAAAGGACTCATAAGGTACATTCATCTAATTTCCTGGACTAGCACTTGAAAGAAGAAATATGTCTTCAGGGTATTCTTAAGGGCTGGCAAAATAGGGATAATTAATTTTATTTGTGGGATGGGAGTATTCCACAGGGAAGGGACTATGGCAGAGAAGGCATTGTTTAATTGATGGAACTTGATATATGTTAGCCTTGCCGGGCTGTATATGAGAAGCAGAGAGAACTGGAGACCCATGATTCCACAAATAATCATACAGTATGCCAGGAAGAACCTCATAGGCAACTACCATCACCTTGAATTGTATTTGGAAGCCCAGAGTTAGCCAGTACAATTCATGCATTGATAGTGTAACATGGGTGGACTAAAGTCACAACTGCTTGTGTTGCCATATTCTGAATAAACTATATGTTCTGGGTGTTCTTCAAGAAAGGGTTGCTGATCATAAGATTCCATAGGGTAGTTATAACACGAGTAAACAATTTTTTTCTATTTCAAATTTCCTTCCAATCATCTTCATTGGAAGAATCTTAGTATTAGACCTTTGAGACAGGGGCAGATTATCCCTGTTCAGTTTCTCCATGCAGAATTCTCAGTGACGTGTGGTGAGGTTTATGGCTGGTGAGGCCAGTGGGCAAAAGCCGCCCTATGTCTGCCAGCGGTGGGCTTCGGCTGGGCTTTCGGCGCTGTGTCCGCCACAGTGGTGGGACTTTGGCAGGGGGCTTTAAAGTGCTGCCACTGTGTCGTCCATAGAGAGGTATGCATCCCACCTGTATGGTGGACACAGCGGCGGGGCTTCGATGGGGCTTTCAGAAAGCGGCGCCGGGGCTTCGGTGGGGCTTTCTGAAAGCCCCGCCGAAGCCCCGAAGCCCCGGCGTTTGGACCTTCACTTTCCAACTGCTTCTTGCCGCCGCCGCGCTCCGCCACCTTGCCCCCCACCTCCTCCGATGAACAATCCTCCACTTTCTTCAGCTTGGATGGAGCCGGGACACCCAAGCTGCTGGCAGAAGGGGCAGCGGCCACCTGAGCGGCCATGATCCCCCTCCCCAGCCTGCCAGCCAGCCCACCCACCCCCCACCCGACCTACTCCCCGCCTGGCCGGCTGGTTGGCACAAAGCCTCACTGCTCTTCTCCCCATCTTCCTCCTCCTTGTCCTCCCCGCTCAAGTGGCAGTGGGCTCTGCAGGACAACGGGGTCTCATTCCTCCCCCGGTGCGGCGAGCTCCAGCAGGCTGGATGTGGGTGCGAGGGGTCTGGCCCTGCGGTGCCTCCTCGCTCAGTTGCAGACGGTGAAGAAAGGGGAGAGGAGGAGGAGGAAAGGGGGAGGGGAGAAGGACGGGGCTCCCGGTGGGGGGGAGAGGAAAAAGAGAAGGGGGGCACAGTGGGAAAAAGAAAGAAAGCGCAAGTCTGCCAACAGAGGTGGATAAAAGACCCGCCTCTGCTGGCGGGCTGCCCCTCTCTTCTCAAACAAGGCTGCCCCTCTCTTCTTAAACAAACTCTCTCTCAAATTGAGAGAGAGTTTGAGTAAAGTGAAGAAACAAACACGCACACACACATACACACACAAATTACTTACAATAAAAAATTACTTACAAATTACATTAATTTTGAATTCCTCCCCCTCCCTCCGACCCACATATCTTTTCCAGCTTTTTCACAATCACAGAGGATTTCAACTCTGCTCTTGTCTGTCATGATGAAAATGTAAAAAATGTAAAAATAAAAAGGCAAGAACTGCTGAGGTCAGGCTGGGTTAGCTGCTGCCAGAGCCTCCAATGAATGACTCTGCTTAACTGTTTAAAAAAAGCCTCTAAAAAAGGTGCCCTCTACAGGAGGAGGCGAGAGAACCATGTGCCTCATCTACATAAGGAATTTTTCGGCTTTTAACCCTTGCTTAACTCTGCTCAAGTAATCATAAAGATAGACTAAATGAGGCACATGGTTCTCTCGCCTCCTCCTGCAGAGGGCACTTTTTAAAGAGACTTTTTTAAACAGTTAAGCACTAAGCAGAGTCATCCACTGTGACTCTGGCAGCAACTACCTCAGCCTTTTTCCTTTTAATTTTCTTTTCTTTTCATAATGACAGTGGTGAGGCCCTGCCTCCCATGCCTCCCCTGACTGCACGTCCCTGAGAATTCTGTATAACTCAGTCATATCATTTGCACTTTTTCTATGCTAAATTGTGCCAAATATTTGAGTCTTTGATGACTAGTTTCCTTTTTCCTAGTTCTTCTATATCCCTTTTCAAATGACTGGAATTGAACACAGTATTGGAAATATAGATGAATATAGGTAGAAATATAAGCACATTATAATGCTGACACTTCATTTCCCATCTCATTCCTAGTGATTCCATAGCATGGATTTGTCTTTTCTCATAACTCCAGATGAGTTGACATCTTCATTGATCCACTATGACATTAAGGTCCATTTCTTGTTAGTTGTAGACAACTTAGGCACACCGTTTAATATTTGTGATGTTTGTTTATTTTCCATCTTCCATGTATATTACTTTTTATTTATTTAAATTGATAATCATTTGCCACCTGGCTGATCATGCACCCAGTTTAAAACATTTCACAATTTTTGTTTTTCACCACTACATGATTTGGTACCTTGTTTTCCCGAAAATAAGACCTCCTGGGATAATAAGCCCAATTGGGCTTTTGAATGCATGCGTTAAAATAAGCCCTCCTCTAAAATATTT